CTAGGTGGATTCACAACCGACAGGAGTCAACGACTGGCGACCGGTCGGTCTAGTTCGTCTTCATATTGGGCTAGGAATGATTGGTTTTGGGAGGTCCAAAATGGGCGATGAGGAAGCTTTGGAAGACTCGGGCAATTCTCTCCAAAAACAATCGTTTTTGCCTATTTCGTCGTCGGTCAACTCGATATCTTGGACTCACGCGATGCCGTTGTCTGCTGTGATTGTGTCAAAACGAGCCAATGGCATCGCTTTCTGGGCTCTTTGATTGTTTGACATAAAATCACTCGGACGTTGCGCAAGACCTGCCAATCACCAAAATCGTGAAGATACTCTTCCCTCCAGCACGAGAGAAGATCCTCGCAGTTCGCGCCACCGCGCCAAAGACAGTCAGCCGGCGTGGCAAGGCAATCTTCAGAGCCTTGAAAGCCGAAGTAGAAACTATGCTGGTCCTCCTCTCGCATCTGGCGAGTGGGTCCTTCGTGGAGTGCCAAGTACGTTCTGCACTCGTGTTGGATATCAGACTTTCGGAACTCGGCATGTATTATGTCTTTTTCCCTTTTTTTCTGGTGCTCATGCTCATTGAATTTGTTTTTCCTATCGGGTACAGGTACGTCAAGCGCCGATATGATGCCCACAAAGCTATGGAACTTCGGCTGGCCATAGGGGCTTATTGTCAACAAGCGATGGTATGTTGTCTTTTCCTCGGTTTCTCGATATTTCATTGATCATCTGGCGGTCGAAATAGATCATCGGAGGTCGTTGTCTTTTTATCTTCTTTCTCTATGCGGCCTGCTATCAAACGTGGTACAGGAAGACCGCTGAGGGCGCGATGGCCGCGAATACACGAGGTATGTGCTTTCAAATCAGTATCGGGAGCACATATTGACAAACGCCAGTTTTGCCCACCGTTAGTCTTGGACACTTTGAAGACTTGATGACGTTTGTGTATGGGTTTTGGCTGCTTTTGTTCAAGTGTGCGTCAAGAGCGTCCGGGGTCTGGATTTGGGAATGCTGCTACTGGATATGTAGATTGTTCAGGTTGGAGAAGTATTGGAGGACCTGTAACTAGGCTATGGTTTTTGCCCCATTGCTGAAATTTAGCCGAATTTTTCGATGGGATATCTATGAAATTAGTATACTGAGATCTTAGGATTTAAATGATGGCGGCTCCTCTTAGGAGGACTAGTAGTCTCTAGCCTCGAATGAGAATGTATTTTTCCATGTTTCCCTGTGATAGATAGACGGGTAGAAGGATTGCATTATAATAGAGAGACATACAAAAAAGGGGGTAAGTATGCATAAGGAAACCTTTACTTATCATAAGCAATGTGTAACAGAACAAAATGGGAAGTATTCGGAAAAAGAAGAGGATTGTCGATAAAGAAGCTGAGGCAATAATGATAATGATGATACAAGAAGAATCCTAGAAAAACCGTAAGACGACGTTGAAAAGGAAAGATAAACTACCTACCATAAGGATTGAAAGCCCAACTTGTCGATTAACAGGTGCAGTTGGGTATTCCGGAGCTCATGAAAAGATGCAGTACGCATTATTCCCTCTTCCACCTGACTCTTCGTCAACGGGTATCGTAAAGATAGTGTTGTCCTCAGCATCCGCAGAATAAGTGCTGTATGTTGTGAACGCGTCCATCGGTAGGTGTTGAAGCAACGGGAAATGCGTTAAGACGTCAAGAGGGAGCGTACTGAGAGGATTTGGCTGCTTTTGTTCAAGTGTGTGTTAAGAGCGTCCGGGGTCTGGATTCGGGATCGCTGCTACTAGACATGTAAATTGTCCAGGTTGAACAAATGTCCTGTAGGTTGGCTGGGAGGAGTATCGGAGGAGCTGTAACTAGGCTATGCTTTTTGGGACCTTGATGCGGGTGGAGATGGACTTTCCCGCATAGCCGAGGTGTTCGACGGGGTGTTATGGAACAGCACGGTTGTTGTAACTGCGGTCCATCTTAGGAGAGGACTGTATCTCTAGCCTCGAGATGAGAAAAGAGGCCCCCAGCCCTAAATGACGACGAAGCAGACCGTCCAGTCGCTTGTCGTTGACTGCCGGTTGTGAATTCAGCTAGGATTGCACTTTAGACTGCGAAGAAGACCTCGCACACGGTTTGGCCGGCGGTTCCTCCACCAAAGTCACGCCCACGTCCCTCGAGCTCGTCTTCCCACCCGCCTTTTCCTTCCCAAGTGTAGCCGCGTGTGGCTTCTTTGCGTTACTGCGGCCTGAAGCCGTGGAAAGTGCCGGGGAATGCTGTCTGGAAGTAGATAGGGCGGAGGACGGTCAGCGGTTAGGGTAGACGGATCGTTCGGTGGCTGGGGAGGTGGCACATTGGTCTGGTAGTACCGCCTTGTACCTAATTTGAGGCCCAGAATCAGTTTGGTACGATTTTTGAGGGGACAAAAAACGTACTGAGGCTCAGTAATGTCTTCGCGGAATATCTGCATCCAGTCGCGTTCGTCCGTTGTACCGCGCAACTTGCTTAACAAGCCAAACTGACGGCTAACTGTCACAGCGGCAGTTTGTCCATGAAGACTTTCAGATGGACTTCCAAGGTGAGAACGGGGACAGCCGGCTGCGGACGAACAGACCGCTTGCGTTTCTTTGACGGTTCCGAAGGTGGTGGAGGTGTTGGGCGAGTCCACGTCCGGTCCTCCTCCTCGGCCTTTTCATGCGACACCGCCTCTCCATTTCCCCCACGCCAACACCGTTCATCAGGATCTTGGGCAGCTCCTCGCGGTATTTCCTCGTCGTAGATCCTGTCGTGAGCAGAAGTGGGTCAAAAGCGCGTGTAAGGGATGGATGGTCGAGGTAGAGGGTGCGTGCACGCGTCGCAGGGATGGACTGAGGAGGTGTA